CTGCATGGGCACTGACCTCTCCTCCAAACATGAGAACTTGCTTACACAGTTGATTTTTAAAGCCATCCAGAATATATTTCCTTTCCAGGAAAAAATGGAGATGTTAGAGAGTAAATGGGATAAAAGGATCTTTCAGATTTACTCCAGGGATTTCTCCTTTCTGAGTATTCCTTTGGGCATACTCCTCCTCCTCCTCTCCCCTCAGCAATAATCAACCAAAAATAATAGTACTGAACACACTGAACCTGGAAATTCGTGAATAATCAGAAATGTTTGCTGGAACAATTCTAGATTGGCTTCACGTGTGATTGTGTCTTCTTCCAGTGAAGTATTCACCCTCCCTGGTAATATCTGAGGACAGATAGGTGCTGAGACTTCCTCAGGTTTTGGATCCTCTCCCCTCAGCAATAATCAACCAAAAATAATAGTACTGAACACACTGAACCTGGAAATTCGTGAATAATCAGAAATGTTTGCTGGAACAATTCTAGATTGGCTTCACGTGTGATTGTGTCTTCTTCCAGTGAAGTATTCACCCTCCCTGGTAATATCTGAGGACAGATAGGTGCTGAGACTTCCTCAGGTTTTGGATCATCTCTTCTCCAGGCTGAACAGCCCCACTCAGCCTGTCCTGTCCTCATAGGGGAGATGCTCATTCCTCTTAGCAACTTGGTGGCCTCTTCTGGACTTGCTCCAACAGTTCCATGTCCTTCTGAACTGTGTGCAGGATTCCAGATGGGTCTCACCAGAGCAGAGCAGAGGGGAAGAATCACCTCTTTTGACCCACTGCCCACACTCCTTAGAATGCAGCCCAGGATTCCATTGGCTCAGAAACTGAGCACAACCCAAGCTGTAAAAACTCATCACTTACTGGAGCATGTAAATATTCTATTTTTGTAAAAAATTATTTTGAATCTGTCTCAGTAGTGCACAGTGTTGATTGAGTACTCTTAAATCCTTCTGAGGAATACACTCGTTTTCTAATAATAGATCTTATTTTTCTGTCCTCTGGTTTCGCTGGAATAGCTTCCCTCTGTGTGACACTTTTTTTTGTCATGATGCATTCTAACATTTTTTAGTACAAGAGGCCTTATATTTCTCTCCTCTCACCACTTTGAAAGCTCTCATACTGTAGTTTGTGCCATCGGCTGATTAGCAGTGAATGCAAACAGGAATGTGCCTTTCACCTCCTAAGGTGAAAAGAGAATGGAGCCACTTGGATATGCAAATGAAAGAAAGCCCCAACATCTTGAGTTGTATGCCTTCTTGGGCTGTTCACTCCAGGTGTTTCCTCTTTTGTTTGGCTAGCAAATACCGATTATAACCTGGATCAGAACCCTTGATGCCTCTTCATTTTATGCTGGGTGCATTTAAGTCCTATCTTGCTCTATTAAAAGGCAATATTGCACTTTCTTCCTTTTGTGTAACCTCATTATGTTGTTGCTAAATCAGCTCAGTTGTAGCAGTGCCAATCTCCTGAGGCTGCTGTGGGAAAGCTTTCTCTGCAGATCTGGGGAATAGGTTGCTTTGATGAGGACATGTACCCTTCCACAGGCTTAATATGTGTTGGGTTTGGGGGAGAAAAGGATAGTATTTAGCTGGTTTTCTCATGTTTTCAGGCAGGTATGTTTACAACAGCTTTGGAGATGTCCCAGACTAGTCAGCAGTCTTCTGATTCCCATTTACAGTTAAGGACAGAAATATTTTGCATCATTACAATGCAAGTATTATTGATTAGTCAGGGATCAATTTCACCCTGTTAAAATTAGACCTTGTTTCTTGTAAGACCAGATATTCATGGAGATAAACTTTATAAAAGGACTTGCATAGATCGTTAGAATTAAATCACTCTTTAATGCTGTTTACTTTCCTGAACTGCACTTCTAATGGTAAGCAGATCCCCTTGGCAAACCCCCCAAGCTGCTTGTTTGAACTGTTCCTTGGATTTTGTGGCGCTCTTGGTTTGCTTCCCCTGGTGCAACTGGAACTGCTAAAGTGAAGATGGTATCTCTGGAGAGGAAAGAGAGTTCCAGGTTAATGGGGACATCAAATGCCAACCCAAACACAAATATAAAACAGTTACTCATGAGTTTTCTTTTGCAATAGAGTTCTCTAGGGATCACTTTTAACCCTAGCTGGTACTTCTAGTAGTGACCTGGAAGTAGAAATGAAGTGATTACTGCCCTAGTATGCAGAAGTCAAGAGTATTGGACATCTTAAGACACAGATGGTGAGACATAACCATAAGCATTTCAGCACAGAAGCTGGAGACTTTTCTGGAAACCAGTGTCTCAGGATCTTTAGTTTTGCCATAGTCAGCTCGCTATAAATGAAGATATTTGTGCACGAAGGGCCTATAGAGCAAACAGCTAATGGGACTTGTAAGCTTTTGTCTTTGTGGCTGTCCCAGTGTTAGTGTAAAATTGAGTGCTGCTCTGTTGTCAAGTCAAGGGCAAAAACCTGAAATATTGATAGGGTTCCATTTAGCCTTCCCTACAGTGCTAGACTGGAGTTCGTTCTAAATAGTTCATCAGAAAAAAGAAGTTTAAAAGAATAACTAATAAAAAGCTGCTCTGGTCTGACCTGCACATTCCCTTCCCTTTCAGGGTGCAGTGCCATAATGGGTAGTTGGTCAGACCTGCATGTTGTTCATATAGATTTTTGGCATTATGACATACCCTATTTCTATAAAACTGATGCCATTGATGCTGGATGAAATGGGGAAGAGTTACCAGGCTGTTCCTTTCAGGGTTAGTACTGGTCCAGCCTTGCTTCCATCATTGGGTTAACAATGCACATGGAGTAGCTGTCAAACTTTTCTCATCTAAAATTAGGAGCTAATGAAATGCAAATTTTTTTTTCCTTAATAGCACTAAAGTGATCAGCTCTATCTGTCTTTCACAGAATGAGGCATAGCAAAATTTTTATTTGTGATTCTAATGCCCAAAACCTGGAGGCACCTGGGAGCTTGGCTTTATTTAGAGTCAGGAAGGTTGGAAGAAATGTTGAGCATGCATTAAATTGTGCACACTAATTTAACGATCAGAAAAGCTCATCATAGTCTGTCTCCATCTTTCCTGCCTGCTCTTCCAGGAAGCTTTGAGAGATGTAGTACAGATGTCTGTTCTGGCTCTGAGCCATGTAGGGATTTGCCTCTAGAGCAGGAATCCCCAGCTTCCCCTTGGAAAGACTTTCCAAGGCAAAAGTGCTAAAATAAAAAAAAAGGCAGGATCTGATTAAACCACAAACTTTAACCACCTTTTTCGCCAGCATGAGAAATCTCTGTACTCATGCTATAATCTTTTCCAAGCTCATGCTAAGTGCCAGAGGAATATTTTGTAGTGAAAGGAGCAATAAATGTAGCTCTAATAGGAAACAAGTGTATTTTTTTTTCCTAAGTGTATACATGTCTATTATTGCAGATCCAAATATCCCTGAGCAAACAAGGTCTGTGCAGCAAAGTTTGAGCTGGAAAGATGCAGTCTAGGGAACACCCCTATGGAGAAGAGAGGAAGGAACAAAAATAATTTCAGTAAATCAGTTAGGTGACCCAGTTGATAATGTCAACCAGAAGCTGTTTGTGTGCCAGAGCTGGGTAAGCATTGGCCTGCAACAGCAAATGCCACCAAAACCAGCACATCACAGAACTGGACTCTGACACAGCAGCAGAGAGTGAATTAACTTCTTACATTTTAATGGTGAAGATCACAGTGTGACAGCAAATCTGCTCTGAGGTTACTTTGCCGTGACTCACGTTCTCCAAGCAGAGGCTGCATGGTATTAAGGAATCTGTTTGAAATGACACAGGGGAATATGCAGTGAGAGAGAGCAAAAGGGAGTCATTTGCTGTTTAATTGAGGCAGTACCTCATGAAAGAATTATATTCTTTTTTTACATGTGTGACTTAAGTTGTGGTTAAAATTGAACAAGAGTGTGTGTTATTTGCATTATAAATCTCTTTGGTAATAAACTGATTCATCTTGCTGCACACAATGACTCCAGTGTAGATGCAAGAAACATTTTTTTTGCCACCAGTAAGAGCCATGCAGTAGTGCCCACAGTTACTGACAGCCTGTCACTGCTGGAGGAACTGATCTTTGGAGGCCTCCAGAGCAATTCTGAAATGCATCACTTTGGGTGTTACTCTATATTACCCACTGCTGTGGATTTTGGTCGAATAAACACATCCATTTAGGCAGGATACTTCCTAGAAACCTTGGAAGTAGCACTACAAACTATTCCGTGGCATTCTGTGCTCCAAACGCAGCAGATCAGAGCTCCAGCCCAGTGCAGAGTCCTTTCTGCTCCACTTGTTTAAATACCTAAGGCACCTCCTGAGGCAACAGGAGCTTAACTCTGTCTGCTTTAACCTCCTGCTAAATGCTTAATCAGTCTGACCAAGAGCAGTTATGCTGCACTGCAGACCTGAGACAACTGTCCTCAGTCTGCTAATGATAGAGTAACACACTGAGAAAACATTCTTTGAACTCAGGGAAGCTTTGAAGTGAAAGGTCCTTTTAAACCTTAGCTATTATTGTTAAATATAGGGGTATCCTCCTCACCAAAGGACCTTCTCTGTAGACTCTTTTACCAAATTGTGGTCCCAACTGTTTTGTTCTAGCTGACTTTGGAATGAGATGGAACTGTTTTGTTCTAGCTGACTTTGGAAAGAGGTGTTTTTTTACCACATTTGTTTGTGGCTCTACAATGTTTTCTCACAAAGGTTACCCAACAGGTAAAAGGATTAAGAGCATGACTCTATTTCCATAATGGTGAAGGAAATTTTTTTAGCTTTGAAAGGAAAACATAAACATTGTACAGAATGGAATACCATTAGCATCTATATTTTAGGGCTTCTTTTTCTTTTTTTACTAACTTCATGCCTTATAGTGTGATGAACACTTTTGTTTAGTTGGAGGATTCATAATTAGGCACCTTTCTTTATCATGGCCTAATATGCTAGAGCTGATTATGTTCTTTTTCTCTTGGCTTTTTCAGGTATGAATACAAGCAAGAGTGAGACAGTGAAAGAGCATCCATTGAAACCTTCTAGAAGATCCATGCCATGCCTTGCCCAGAGCCAAACACATCCTCAGAGCCTGAGCAAGCATTCTTCCTTTCTGCAGCCAAACCGTGTGCAGCCACAGCCCAGGTCTCAGCCCCTGAGTGCAGGGACATCCACAGCTGCCGTGGATGTGGTGTCCGAACGAGGTAGGAGGTCTTTCTCTGTCAGGAGCTTCTTCCAACAGGGATAATATTTCATAGAATCAACCAAGTTGGAAAAGACTTCAAAGATCATCAAGTCCAACCCTACTGTGGTTATTAGCCCATGGCACCAAGTGCTCCATCCCTCACCCCTGATGGCTCAGGAGTAGAGTGAAAGTCTTCACTAAAGAGATCTTGTTCTTTTTTTCCACCAATGGAAAGTGCTCCTCAAAATTTCAGTCTAAATATTTGTGAGTCACTAGCAGCTTAAAAATGTGTATCTTTTACTTGCAAAATACATGTGAAAGCTGATAGGAATATTGCATTTCTTCCAGCTAAAGTGATGGAGACTTTGGAAAACAACTTGCTCAAGTTGTCTAATACAGAATACAGTGATCCATTTTTAGGTAAGTTTTTGTCTGAGCTGTGACTCCTCAGTTACACTTGCAATATTTCAGTGTGGAGAGCCATACTTACCCTGAACCACCAGCATTTTTGAGAGAGGAAACTGTGTGGCTAAAGAAATGTATGCTGTCAGAAACTTCCTGGCAGTCTCACATTTTAGACTAACAGTAAGTAGGGACTGAAGACAGAGAAGTGTTATACGTTTGGTGTATCCTTGTCCCATAACAATCCTTTGTAATACAATCCCTTGGAAGCATCTATTTGAAATTCCTTTGGAATAGTTGTGTCGTGGTTCAACCCCAGCAGCCACTAAGCACTGTTATTATTCAGTTATTATTCCTGTGTAGTCATGTTATTCAGTATTGCCAGGGCTGCAGTTCTGCTGTTTTTGTTTTCAGATATTCTCATATATTTGCTTTAGATATTTGGGTATAAAAAGTGTTCCAACCTGACAAAAAAGAAGTAGTGATGCAGAAAAACAACCATATTTGTACCTACATTACTGTCATTTTGATACTCTAATTAAGTCAAAGAAGGTAGGAAGGAAGTTATTCTAAGAATAATCCCATCCTTGCAACTGCACAATGAGTATGTAAATACACACGTGGGTAGTCATTGGAATGTTCCAAAGTTGATTAATTTTGAAATTCCCTGGCCAGCTATTTTACCCATCAGATATTGCTGCACCTTGCACAACTACTCTGAAAGAGCTTTTTGCTCACAATCGATGAAGCATTAAGCTATAAATCATATCTTCATGCTGAAGGAAAGAGATTTGCTTTCAGAAAGCTATTGCTGCTCACCTCTCACATGCTTTAGCATCGATTTTTCTTGATGCCTGAAATACAGGAGAGATAAGAGGTTTCTCAAGGTCTCCTAAAGAGGTAGCTGCTGGAAATAATGAAATTGATTATTACTCCAATCCAAAATCAAAACATTCCAAAATCATCACACATACCAAAAATTTGGCACGAAGATTACGTGAAAAAATCATGTGTCTCAGTAAGGTTCTGGTAAACTGAAACGGATGGAAGAACCCGTGCAGCACATACAATGTTTACACCAAAAGAGGGAGTGAAAGGTCACAGAGATGGGGCTGAAGAAAACCACCTTCAGTTTCTGCTTGAACAGAAATGTGATGTTCCCATTGTGACTGCTGGAATAGTTTTTTCACACGTTTGTGACCCTGCATCAGTAAGGGCTGTCACATCTGCTCTGTGCAGTGAGATGGTTGGAAAGCTGCACCAGAACAGTTTGTTCTCTGCCCAGTGTGCAAGGGAGTTGTCCAGCTCTCCTGTCAGAGCTGCTCCATGCCTGGAGAGCTGGCAGGATGGAGGAAGGAGCTCTGTAATCTGCTCAGTGCTCACTGAAGCATAGTAACCATTAGTCTTCCCACTTAGTGTTGAGGTTCAAAATATCGAAGTGCTTTAAGTATTTAATCTGCCTGTACCAATTCTGTGCATCACCTGAACTCATCCAAACAGCAATTACACCTGCATGAATACCTTTTTAAGAGAGAGAAATATTCTGTGTAATGGTTGCTGCTGTCTGAAAGCTCATAAGAAGTTGTGCACTAAGAAAAGCTGCATTTGTGGGCAAGGATAGTTTTTGATGTCTAATATACAGACACAGGTAGCTGAAAACCCTTCTATGTTATGTGTACAACACAGAATTCCAGGTGCACAGCACAATAAAATGAGACCTAAATCCCTCACCATGTCATTCATCCAGGTGATGTCCTTCTCTAGGTTATTTGCTGGTTTTAGAACTAAAATTAGGACAAAAGGGGATTATTTTCTTGACCAATAACCTCATTCTTACTAAAGCTTTGCAAAGCCTATGGTTAAATGTGTAAAGGCTTGTTTGTCTCAATGGTTCTATCTCAAATTTGTCCAGGATATAATTGTGTAGGAATAATTATTCCATCTTTTTCATCTTTCAAATATTGTTTTTTCAAGCCTGTTTTCCAACATTCATTAAAACTTGACCTGGTCCAGCATTGCACAGACATTTCCCTCATGTTCCTCCTGCTGGGTATGTAGGCTAAGTATTGTCAGGATTCTTTGGCAGAAGGTATGGATAAGCTTTAAGGAAGGTCCTCAGTTTCCTGCAGCTCTCTTAGGGTACTCAAGGAAGTTTTCATAGAAACATTGAAAGCATTTCAGTTGCTTGTTTGAACTTCAAACACCAGAGATGTTGCTCTGGTCTCTCAGATGCTCCTGCCTATTTGGTGAAACATTGAGTCTCAAAATTTGTGGAGATGCTCCTGCCTATTTGGTGAAACATTCTGAGTCTCAACATTTGTGGGTCAACATTTGAATATTCATATCACTTTGTGTGGGTTTTCCTAACTACTCTAAAGAATCTTGTGGACTCTTTTATTTGAATGCTAATAAAACCCATTCCCATAGGCCTACTGAAAATAGGACTCAATTGTAGTTTAAGATAATCATGATAACATTTCAAGTAAACAACTTTTTGCAGGAAAGGATAGAATATGCTCTTGAAAAGTGGCTACCTAAAATATATATTCAGCTGTGGCTGTAATAATGCTTTTAGTTTCTATCCACTGGACTCTGAAATTAGCTCATTGTTTCCTTCTGGTTTTCCTTCAGATGTAGGAAAGGACAAAGACACATATACAGATGATTCAGAGCATGGGAATTACGACACTCGTACCGATCAGTCCTTGCTCATTCAGAACAAGCTCACCAGGCAGAAAACAGAACCTCGGGCTAAATCATCTTTAAAGGTAACAGACACCAAGCTTTATTAAATTGTAGCATCTGTCAGAATGTGCTGAAAATGTAATTTTTAAGGGATTAGATAAACTGCAGCTTAAATAAATAGACATCTCACGGTAAGAAATTGAGGTGGTTCCCATATAGTTTGACCGACAGAATCAGTGAATGGAACTCTCTGAACCAAAGTCAACCAAAATTACATGGAATCAAGGTGCTGTAGAGTTCTGGGTGCTCTTAGCTGTCTCAGTAATGAGCTACTTGCATACTAAAGCAATAAAAACCTCCTCTTGCTGACACAATGAAAGCAAACACACTTGTTTTCAGGAAATGTTTAGCATTTCAGGTCACATACATGATGCATCACGTTCCATATTGCTACATTTTAAAGCTTTAGAAGCATCAGAAAAATTTTATATAGCATCCAGATGCCAATTTATTAGCCTACTTTCCTGGTTTCCTCAGTTATGATTTATAACTGGTCATCTCCTTCAGTGTAGGTTGGTGTCATTTCAGAATGCACATATTTCACACTGAAAACCTGTGAGTCACTCAGCCCCATGTGAAATCTGTCATCATCACCAGCTGCTCTGGAGAGGGCATAGAAAACACTACTTCATGGATGTGATTCTGCACAGGGGTCTCACACAGAGGTGTGAGGCCAACAAGTGTGTGCTGAGCAGCAGATGGAATGGTGATATCTGCTATTGCAAGGGAAAGGTGGGAAATGAGGAGGTCTCTGACTGGGAAGTTGATCTCTGAAATGTTCTGGTTTCCCTAGGAAATGGAAACAGATTTAAACAGACACTATCATTTAAATAGAAGGCAACACTTGCCCAGAGAAGCAGTGAAATCAGGAGTAGTGAAGTCATTTGTCTACCTGTTGCTGTTTGTGTGTGTAATGATGAGATAGGAATACTGGAGAAATTACACTTCCCCTTCCTTTCATTCCTCACTGTTACTCTCTTTGGTCTGATGAATTTTTTATCTAGGTCGTGTGTATTACTGTCTGGTGAGGTAAATAAAGGATTTCTAGAGCAAAGTTCACCTACTGTCACTGTGAGTCCAGGAACTGTGAAGAAATTCTGCTTTTCCTGGTACCCACTGCTCTCCACTGTCAGCACTGCTTGGCCCAGCTGAGCTCTGGGTTGGGTGGGATTGGAAACCTTTTCTCTTTCACTCTTTGGAAATGTTACATAACTTCTAAGGAACTTCAAAGAAGATCTTACATGGAGAATTGTACCTAGGGAGCTGGACATATTGCTGAAAATGCATTGCCATTTAAGCCAAACTCAGTTTGTTCAGTGTAGATTATTGCAGTGATTATAAAAGATAAGTCTATCCATGAAAATTTGAAATACTTTCCTTAGGCATTTTGTTGTAGTCTGTGATTTTGAATGTATCTATTTCTCTCTCTCCTGTGAATAAGTACTTACAGAATTTCGTGGTGGTTTTAAAAAACCCAATAAATGTCATATTTGCAGTATAAAAATGTTCTTCAGTCTTTTTTTTGTCCTTTTTATTTTTTTTTCTCCCACCCTTTTGCAGGAGTTATTTTCTGGTTTTGTTTTTTTCCTCTGTAAGTCCATGACTTTGAGTGTGGTGCAGAATTGTGCTATGTATTGTTATCCCTGGTTTGAAGTACATTATTTCACTCGTGCTCCTGTGGTGAGTGGAAGTCAATGTGTGCTGGGAGAGAAGGTTTGGCAGTAAAAAATGTTTTGGTGCTTGATGAAGAAAAAAGATGTTGTCAGCTGATGATAGTGTATTGGAAAAGGAGAAAGCCTTTAAGGCTTAAAGCCTGATGGATAGGGAGTAGTCCACAAATGCAGCCTAATAACACAGAAGTAAATAAAACTTACAAGGAATGATAACATCATTATCCCAGAACAGATAAAGTGCAACAACAGTTAACATGATGTTTATGCTTCTAATGTGTGGCTGTCACCTGCTGAGAGGCTCTGCTTGACAAAAGCCTCAGAAAATATTTCAGGAAATGCAGGAAGGAAGGAAGCAATTTTAGCATAAAGATGAAAAGGTTTAAAACATGTGGAGACAAGTTTTCAGTGGTCGTGTCAATATACTTGTTATGACCTCCCAACTGGACTTAAAGAGCAGATAGAAGAGGTTAAATATCAAAAATAGGAAACCTTCTCCTGACTCCAAACATCCTACATTGCTGCTCTCCTGCAGTGACATTCAAGACACTTCCTCTCAAATTTTGCATATCCCCTAAGCCTACTCCTTTCCTGAAGCCAAATGCACTTTTCATAATATATACAAATGTATTTTTCATGCTTGCTCTAGAGGTCTGAAGAGAATGAAAAAAAAAAAAAAAAAGATTTCCTCTGTGAAGGAGCTAAAATAATGGCAAAATCTTTAGTTTACTCCTACAGAATTAAGCTGTGGTTTTCTTGGGAAGGTCAGATGTTTCTGCAGGACTTGCTCCCTGCTCAGCACAAATACAGCCGTGTGGGTACCTCAGGCAGCCTGTGCTGTTGGCCAGGCTGTGCCACCTTCAGTGCCCCAGATCGTTTGGATATCTTTACATATGCAAATATCCCCCTAATTTTTCTTTCCTTGCTTATTATGGTTATTTGCACAAGAAAAAAACCCAAATGTGCACTTAAAATCATCAGGTGAAATGAGTGATTCTAGTTAACCTCTGGATTTACCCTGATAGTGCATATTGTTCATTATCTGAAACAGTGCAAGGTGGAAAACAAACCACTGTGCTATTGTGCTATAGTACAGACTCTGACATTTGTCATATGTGAGAGCAGCTCTGGGGGTGATCTGAGGAGCATTGGGGTCTCCCAGTGATGCCACAGACCCACAGTGGTGTTGGGAAGGTCTTCCCACCCCATGTGAGGGCTCTGAGCATGGCCCAAGCCACCTTTGTACACATCCACCTTTTTTTTTATTTTTTAATTTTTTTTAATTTTTTTTAATTTTTTTTTGCTAGAGCCAAAACTCCTTTTTCTAGGTCAAATAGTTCAACATGTTTTGCCTCGTGCAAACTGTAAACTTCAGTTGAATGATAATGTGAGTATTTTGGATTTCACACTTTCAAGCTTCAAGGCAGTGTGTCATGTTATTTGTTGTAATAATCACCAGCTCTGGAGCAACCAAGAATGTTGAGAAATAATAAAGGAAAACAAGGAACTGCAGCAAAGCCTCGGGTGGTAGTTTGATGCAAACCAGTGTGTTGTGGTTCTGCACTATGAGCAAGGTCAGTGTTGAGGGGAGCAGTGCTCTACAGCCTCACACCTGAGGTGCTTGTGTCTGAAAGGACAAGGTCAGGTTAAATTGTTGAATTTACAATCTGAACTGTATTGCAATACTCTAACAGGAATTTTTCAAATCAGCTTTAAAAAAGTTCTTGTATGTGTGTGAACGTAAGAAAGCTGCTCAGGTGGGTACCACTTCAGAAAACCTGGAGAACTTAGAGGCTGGAAAGGGTTACAGAATGTTGGTAAGTCCTTTTTATACACATATTTTCAGGTGAAATAGGAAATCCTGACTAGAGTAAGGGCTTTGCACAAAATCTTTTTTGTGATGCTCTTCTCCTTTTCTGATCCTTTTCTCTGTTGAGAAAAAGGTGAAAGAATGAAAAGGAGATTTATTGGTCCAAACCAGCAGATGAATAATAAATGAGTTCTGCCTGAATGCCACTGTACCAACAGCTGATTCACTGTGCTGGGAATAGATAACAGCCAATATACCCTGACTCATCTGCTTAATTGAACTTACTGCTCCCTGTTCTCCTTACACATTGTGGAGCTCCTTCAAATCACCTGAGAAAACAACTAAATCACCAAATAAATTCTTTTACTGAGACTGGTATTTCTGCTAATATGGGTGGAACAAGATTGCTTGGGAATTGCACTAAAGGGAAAGTGATGGTGTGAGTGGCATTAAAGTGACTCAGTCCTGAAATCAATATAGCATAGATCAGGTTCAGTGCATGAGTGTGGTAAGTGGCTAAACTATTGCACTTCTCAGCCTATGGGGGTGGTACACTCAAAATGGTCTGAGATGAACAGATGGAAATTTTTTCTACTCATCACAGCTCCTAATTTCTTGAATGTTGCCTCCAAATGATTCTATTTGGTGCTGATAAGTCTGAGGTCATATTTGGATACTGTTGTTAATCTGAGAAAGAAAACATGTTTTTCTAAGACTGAAGGAAATTAGATGTTTCAGAAATGAGGAAAGAAAGGCTAGAAATAATAATGCAGAGAAAGGTAGAAGTGTATTACAAGCTGGTAAATGTAATTTGCAGAATGTCTTGGCAGAAATTGCATGAGCAGAAAACATAGAAGAGAAGTTCCAGATCTCTCCTTTGGGGGAACTTTGGCCAGGTTTTTTATATCTGATTTGTGCCTGCTTCATGAACCATAGTAGCAGCTCTGCTCTGCTTCTGGAAAGTACTTGTGCAGGAGTTTTCAATTGTTGAAGAGCAGATTCACTGTTCATGTCTTGAACCTCAAAAAGTCTGAGTTTTAAAAACTTGCATGTTCAAACTTGCATTTTGGAACCTTTAGTCTACTACCTAAGCTTCAAACCTCTGCATCTTATATCTTTAGGTCATTACATCTATGGCATTTTAAAAAAAAAGAATAAAAAGGAATGTTTTTACTGCTATCCCCATTCAGAACTCTCAGAAGGGGTGACAGACCCTGTACTCAGTGTGCTAACAATTTTAGTTGACACTCTTGACTACCTTAATTTGGACTTCAGATACTATTTATCTGACTATCAAGAAAGATATCAAGGTGCTGGAGTGTGTTCAAAGATGAATGCAATACACAAATCTCATGAGGAGCAGCTGAGGGGGCTGGAGTTGCTTAGTTTAGAGAAAAGGAGGCTCAGGGGGAATGTTATTTCTCTCTATAGCTACCTGAGAAGAGATTTATGGCCTTGGTAACAAATGACAGGACAACAGGAAACAGCCTCTAGTTACACCAGGAGATGTTTAGGTTGGATATTAGGGAAGATTTCTTCACTGAAGGGGTGGTGGAGCATTGGAACAGGCTGCCCAGGGATGTGGTGGAGTTACCATCCTGGAAGTGTTCAAGAAATGACTGGACATGGCACTTAGTGCTACGTTTAGTTGTCATGGTGGTGTCTGGTCAAAGGATGGTCTTGGAGGTGCTCTCCAACCTGATGAGTCTATGGTTCTGTAGTCTGACACCAGCTGATAGTAGTCACTGTCCTTTCTGAATCATGCAAAGCACAGAATGCAAAACCAGCTCGCAGCAGCAGCAGCATTAAAGCAGAGTTTTCTGTACCGAGCTCAGGTAGACTGTGTGTCTGCAAGCACAGTGGGAAGGACCTAGACAAGATTTAAAGATTGCTAACATGGCATTGAGAAAGCACTTCAGCCAGAATAGCCATGCAAACATTCCAATCAATAGCATTGATTTTTGATTTTTTTTGTGCTTATTTCTCTCATGGAGAAAATACGAGTGTTTGTTGTATGAACTTTGGGAAAATTGCCTTAATTTACTTGCCTTTAATTTTTTTTTCAATTCCTGCTTGAAAGTAAGGATTAACAGGGGTTCATATCCATACGTGCCACAGGATGATGTTAAGGTGTTTGCACAGCTGAAAGAAACAGGTAGAATGTGGGTTCTGTGGAGCTATTTGAGTTTGTTTTCTTCTGATGAATTTCAAATCCTGAGCAACCGATGCACATAAACATCTTGTGTGTTCATCCTACAGGAATGTGGCCATTCCCATGGTTTAGGAAATGCTGTGTCACAGGCAGTCCATGATGGGGCTCTGCAGCTTTAGAAGTGCCACATTTAGTGTCCTTTTATTTCATCTTGTCTAGAGTGATGCCATGGCATCGTCAGGACTCTTTTTCAAAGACGGAAGAAAACGCATTGATTACATCTTGGTCTACAAGAAATCGAGTCCACAGGTGGAAAAAAGAAGCACATTTGAGAAGAATTTGAGGGCAGAAGGACTGATGCTAGAACGGGAGGTGAGTCCTGCAGCTTATGCAGCATTAAAAAATATAATAATTATAATACTATCATACTTTGCTGAACTGACAAAAGATTCCTGACAACATTCCAGGCCTCCCCAGTCAGGCTGTTCCCACCATCTGTTTCATAGTGTTGGTTTAATAAGCATTGTTTGATGCTGTCTGTGCTAGTTTATTTATTATTTACTAAGTTGTTTATTTCCCTTTGACTAGCTGAGAGCACTTGCCATGTTTTCAGACTCGTGTGGCCACTGCAGGCCTGAAATCAGCTTGACCTGGAGAATGCTTTTGGGCAGGTGATTGCCAGAAAGGTGTAAGTCACTAACATGTGTTTGTTGCTGCTCTTTCCAGCCTGCTGTTACAAACAGTGACATCATGTTTGTTAAAGTTCACTGTCCGTGGGAGACACTGTGCAAATATGCAGAAAGGATGAACATCAGGATGCCTTTCAGGTATTGTGACAATCATTTTCAGAAAACTGGAATTTAGTGCTTAATATTGGCAATTTATTGCTTGCTTAGGGCTAAAATGAAGTCTTTGCTGCTCTGTAGCCAGGCATGCTCCTAGTAATTTAGTGATGTGATAGAGGGAGAGGAGAAATAATTAATAGTTCTGTTCTTTACACATTTACCTGTGGTACTTGTTTGCAAACTTACCCTGTGAGTCAAACTGAGCATAAATCTTTAGGAAAGTTATTAGTTCACACACTGTTTGTGATGTCCTTGGTAGAGTTTCAGATATTCTCCAGCTCAGCTCAAGTTCATATGTTTTTGCAATAAATATTTGTGGTTTATTTATAGGACAGGTTGATATCTCCTGCAGTAATACAGGAGCCCTTACAGGAGAAAAAGTGTCTTTTCAAATCGATTAATAATGTTCTTAGAGAGAGAGAAGAGCACATGGTGTGCTGTGAACATCCTCAGGAGTGATAGTGGTAACGAGATGCCAAAGTTGTGTGACTCATGGAAAATACCCTTACAGAGCAGCACTGCTCTCTCACTCAGAGTGCCAAGTGCTCTGTCTTTCATGCTGTGGTAATGTTGATCTCCTGCATTGGTCCTAAGCCAAAACCAGTCAGTGTGAAGCATCCTTTGCTCAAAACTTGCTTCACATCCCTAGTGCTAGAATGAGTTTCCACATCACCCCATTAAGCCTTCAAAGGCCTTTGCATAAGAAAATGTTTTAGGTAACACTCATCTTCCATATGTTAAAGAATATTACTATAGTGCCACTTGAGCTTCTGTGGTTTGAATAATACTTGTCAATATTTGGAATAGAGAAGTGTTTCCCCATTGTGTGTGCACACATGAATAATCTAAATTCCAATTGAAAAATTACTCCTTCTCACTTTTGGTATATGCTAATAAAAGCAGACCAGAAAAAAAATCCTGAAAACCTGAAACCTGATGTGCAAAATATCACACTGCAGCAAATACATCTCTGTTTGCTTTCAAAATAACTTCTCAGAAGACTTCACTGGGAATTTCTGGTCTTTTTTTTCTCTAAAAGTCTACAAACAGTGAAGGGAGAAAAGAACTGTTAAGTGAGTTATTGATTAGCTGTCATTACTGTTATTAGCTACAAATTTAGTTTTGTCTCAAGAACGAATGTAAAGCTTGAAAAGAAAACATGGAACTATATGATTTTAATTACTTACTCTGTTGCTGTTTTAAAGAGGTTTTCACCTTTCTGTCTTTGAAAAATGTATGTTTTACAATGTCCTGTGTGATGATTTATATGTCCTTTTCAGCTGTCTCCTTCTTGATTATTCTCAGCTGATTTTTGCTGTTCTTTCAGGAAAAAATGTTATTACACTGACTGGAGGAGCAAAACCATGGGCAGGTGGGAGATGTGTAGCTTCTAATTTTGTCAGATAGTCACCCTGCTAAAGAAAATCCATTCGCAGTTGTAAATTTATCCATGAAACTTGGAAAATTAGATTGTTTTCCTGAAAACTCAAAATATGTCAGCTCAAAGTGTTAAAATATTCATCTCTGACAGGGTGCAGTACTTGAAGGCATTGCCAGTTCTCATTTTAGAAATGTAAAAATGCTTATGCCGGGGGGGCTAAAAAAGGCCTTATCCTGGCAGCAAAATTTAATGCTGGAGCTATCTCTGCTGTTATGTTTGCTGATACTAAGGCATATTTCTTTAGCATGAAGGATATTTTTGAGTGTGTTTCTCAGGTTCTGGCAGTCAGCTGTTTCCTAAGAAATGCAAACATATTTTCTCACCTATGTGTCCTGGCGACCAGGATCAAATCAATGCCACACACCAAAGGCTGCTTTGAATTTTTACATGCTAGCTGACAAAATAACCTCCAAACATCACCTGTAGCTGCTGCTGCTGGTACTTCTGTCAGCCAGAGTGGTACAAAGGCCATAGGAGTGGGTGGAAGGAGTCTTGGGGCACTGGAGAGTGGAAACTGGGACATTGTGAGCTGTAATCACTCCACGTTGTTCTACTCAGACATAATGGCTTGGAAATCCTAATCACCAGTGGGAAAGATGTATGAAAATATTTCTTATGAAGTAAGTATCCTGAAAACATTCCCTGTCACAGTTTTGATCAGGATGGATCGTGAGATGAGGTTACATCTGGTTTAGCTTCTCTCGCTACTGTAGATGATGAAGAGCTCTCATTAGTTCTCTGGAACAACTGAAGGACTCTCATGATAACAGTTTACAAGATGATCAGCTAACCAAACCAGACCAAGCAGTGTTAAATAGGAAAGTGGAAAAACTAAACACATAAGCAGATAAATATATTGAAAGAAAACAATCTATAACATAAATTTACAACTGTGTTTTTTCCCTTTCCCAGTCATTCACATGCTTGCTCCATGTTAGTGTCAATCATAAAAAGTCTGACTGAGATGCTTTTCATGCAAAGGCAAAACCAACAACCTTCCCTGCAAAATTGTCTCATTTCATCTGTGATCCATCTGGGGAGTCCTGGATGTGAAATAAATTTATTGTCCATATTTAGGACAGATGTCTGAAAATTGTGACTGAGGCTGCTCAGTACCTGTGAATAAAGTAACAAACAATTTTTGTGCCAGATTGATTTTCCATTTGAGAGAAATGCTTTTACCTATGATTTACTCTGTGAGAATTTGGGGATGAATATTTTTCTGAATTTTTTTTCTGCCACTTTCTATAGCTCAGTGCACAAAGAAATAGTGTGATAAAAAAGAAGCTCCATCTAAAAATGAGAGCTAACTCTAAAATTGCTGACACACATCTCATCATTTTAACTTCTACAACTGTCATTCTTTCCTTCCATCTTACAGCTTTTCAAACTTAACTGCTTCTCTGTAATTTACCCAATCTCTCATTAATATTTCTAAGTTATTAAGTAGAATTTACAAGAGCTATGATGAAGAATGGTATTAAAATCCATGTGTATCAGAAGTAAAATGTTAAGGCTGTAGAGTTTCTGTAATTTAGGAGTATGAAGGAACACAAGTATGTTAGACCCTGAGTGACATGAACACCTCTCTGGGTTTATCAATATGGTTATAAGACAGATGTGTATATCTATAAATGTTCTGGAAAATGTTTGCAAAAGATTATTGGATGTATGAATGAAAGGATGGAAGGTATACTTTCTTTTCATAGAATCATAGAATCAACCAGGTTGGAAAAGACCTCCAAGATCATTGAGTCCAACCCTACCGTGGTCACTAGCCCATGGCACTAAGTGCCACATCCAGTCTCAGCTTGGAAACCTCCAGGGATGGGGAATCCACCACCTCCCTGGGCAGCACATTCCAGTGCCTGATTACTACCCACTCTGATTAAAAGTGCTGACACTTAGCCCTATGATTTAGGCAAAAATTTGTCTGTAAGTGAAGGCTTCATGAAAATTCAGTTTCTTCTTCCACAGCGAAATAACATGAGTCAAGAAAAGTGTCTCTCAGATTATTTTTATACCTGGGGGTGATGTTCTTTTCAGTTGTAATGTTCTGTGCTATCTGAAGGCACTGTGTCTTGAAAAGATCCACCATAAGGGATGCAGTGAAAAAGCAATCACACCTCAGATAAAAAGCCTTTTTGCCTCAGAAGAGAAGCTGCAAATGTGATGTGGACATGAGTTTTAATTTATCCCAGTGCTGTTCTTCATTACTTTGCATGTTAAAAGGATCAGGCATGAATTTTAAACAAGAGCTAATTTCTTTAAGATAATATTTATCGACTATTTTTTTTTAAGATTTTTTTACAAGAGAAATGATCAAGCCTTTTCCCATAACCTATTTTCAAATAATTTCTTAGTAAAATCAGAGGCACTGCTTTTCTGTTCTTCCTGATGCATCTGCATATTTTCCTCATTAAAGTTTTGGCTTTGACTTAGAAAAATCAGCATAGGCAGAACAGAGAAAGAAAGATGAAGAAAATAAAGGGAAACTAGAGTTGCATACACTGTGTACCAAGGGACCTTCCACTGTGTGTTTGTGGAGATTTGAAAGGTAGCTGTAAAATTCTGCTCCCACATTTTCCTGAGGTTTCTGTCTGACACTGTCAAACAGGGGCAGAACAGTTTTGCTGTGTTGATAACAAAAGGGTCACTTTGCTGTCTGAGAGCAATTTAAGTGTTGCCATTTATTTATATGAACATGATGAAATATTGTTCATTCACACTATGAAATATTATTGATGTTATGAAATATTGCTTTTTATTGTGGGCATTGTTAAATGGGCAGCTGTGTTCTGCTTAGCACAGGCCATGAAGTATTCACCTCAGGGGAAAAAAATTGTTACTTAGCTTTACACATTTTGGGGACATGAGATATGTTTGGTTTCTATATCCTGCAGACATATTCATTGAGTAGAGCCCAAATCCCACTGAAAAAAAACTATTTAGGGAATGTTTTTCTCAAATTTAGGCTGTTTCTGAATCTCTGAGGGGCTTACAGTGTTATGATACCACATTTATTTAATAGGAGATCTACTCCTCAATGCCCAGTTTGCATTGCAGTTGAATAACAAAAAAGTACAGGTCAGCAAAGAGAGCAAAATTGAAGTGACAAATAAGTAACTTTGAGCATTTGCTTGAAAATTAACTGCACTTCACTGGATTTACCCCTGTGTAAACCATGTCCTGAGACACTATTAGGCAAGTTTGCAGTAGGAAAAAGACATTTATGTTGCCAGTTGTCTAATTGAAGACACAGCATCAGTGTTCTGTGTGTGTTTTGCAGTGTCAGTTTTAAGAAACAGGAGGAGGACATATCTAGGGGGTTTGCCTGGATACTGTGTAAGATTTCTGTGCAAGATATCTCTTCCTTTATTTGATGTTTAGGTATACTGTTTTGTAGGGCAATATTCGCTCTTGGATTCTCCAGAAAGTCTTGCAGGGGAAAGGTTCATTGCCATCAGAAAACCATCATCTGATCCTCAGCACTCTCCTATTTATTTTAAAATGTTAGAAATGTCAGTGTTGAGTCCCCAGGCTGTGAGGGGTGGGGGAGTTCCCCTTGCCTAGTTCAGTGGGGCCAAAGAAAGTCATTAGATCCGTTCTTCCGTAAAGCATCGACATCCACAGTTCTGTTCCAAACAGGGCAGAGCACGTAAATCTCATTTCTTCTTGTCTCAGTTTGCAGAGGAATATGAGAGAGCTGAAAAGTTGGTTGCCCAGAAACCCAATGAAGCTTGACAAGGAGGCCCTGCCTGACCTGGAGGAAACAGATTGTTACACGGCTCCGTTCAGCCGCGCGCGCATTCACCAGTAAGTGACCTCCCGGATTCTGTGTCCTCCCTTCTCCACTGACAGATGGCCACTGGCAAATACCTGGCATCGAATTTAGCATCCTTACAGGTTTTCTCTTCCAGCCAAAATCTGCTCTCTGACTTGCTGTTCGATGGTCACTCAGTAGCACGGGCAGAAATTTGACTGAGAAATATTTCCTGCCTTTTTGGCTTAGACGTTTTCCAGTTTTTCTTTCCATTACATTAAGAAATGCAAATACTTGCTCAAGTTTGCTTTGCTTAATTACATATTTTACTTAGGCAAAACCTGATACAGCTGTTGAAATTGGGAACACCCAGAGGCAAATTAAAACTAGTGATGATTTTTTTATGTTCTTATCAGATCTTTTGTCTCTAAAAATAGAAATATATATACACCAAACATAAACTGTATGAGTTCACGTTAGCATGTTGACAGTGATGTAGTTAAACTGTGCCACCAATTTTTTTCAGTACCCAGAAAGTTAGATTTTAAAATTCTGGCTGTTTCTTCATTTTTTTTGAAGCATTTTGTAGTAATTTTTTTAGGAGAGAAAAGTTAACTTAAAGTAGAAATATGAATTAGGCTAAGTAGGATTTTTTCTTCAGTAAGGAAGCTAAATGCTAGTGGAGTGACCTTACCCCAGGAAGTCAGGGTAATTGCATTATAGTCTGAATAGTTTTGCTGCATAATTGACTATATTGCGCTGGACCAGTGCTGTGGTTTTGGTGGCCTTTTCTCAACAGCTCAGCCAATGTAATCGACTGTAATAGTATCACTTTTGGCACAGCTGAGCAGGCAAAAGCTCCTACATGTCAGATAGAGTGGAGCCTTCTGGGCAGAGATGCTTTATTTGGCTCCATCCTAGGATCCTCTAAGGGGAAATGGTTGTGGAGCTCTCCTGAAGTCTCCAGTGCATGGAGATTTTGGGTGGGTTTTTTTAAGTAGTAGTTTTGGTGCTCCCATGGCACAGACATCTGTCATCTCATGTGTAATTTGAATTCAAGGCCACCACTGCTACTGAAGAGCTTTATTTAATTAGTTATTTCCAGAACAGAAATCACCTAGATTGGAGGATATTTTAGAATTCAGTTTTAGTTGTTCTGTTTTCCCTAAAATATTCTGGGATAAGGAGAACTTTATTGGACCTACTCTAGGCATGTCAAATCTTATGTCTTGTGCAGCAGCCAAGAGAATTAAAGATCCAGTAAATCACTATAAGGAGCACTTGTTTCAACACCTGTGCATTGTTTTGAGTATTAACAGACATTCATTATTTTGCTAGTTTTACTATAAACAACAAGGACAGCTTCTTCAGCAACTCCACGAGAAGCAGAATTGTGCATCACGTGCTGCAGAGAACTAAGTACGAAGATGGAAAATCCAAAATAGGTGAGAATGCTCTATATCTTTTTCCAAACCTGAAGCTATAAAAATTTCATGTCTTTACTTACCTGAAAAAATATCTTTTGAGTAAACTCATTTTTTTGTTCCTTGATATCTATTTATTCTCTCAGTAACAGAATTGAAGCAATGTCACATCATTATCTTCCCAAATAACCCAGTGAAAATTGGCAATATTTTTCCCTCTAATTGCTCATTCCTTAAAATAAATTGGAGTGATTATAAGTTTACATGATCAAGGGCCACAATAAAGGTAACATATACCTCAGAAAACTGTGCAGTGTTGTCAAGGACTGATCCTGGCATTTCTGCTACCATCCAGCACTTCCAGTCCAGCAGAATCAACGTGAGCTACACAACAGACAAATCTGAATTCCACCATAAATACTTATTTATTGTGGAAACTCTTGGCTACAGATCTGCCCTTAGAGGCTATGGAATCTGTTTATTGTAGCTGTCGATGGTTATTTATTTTTTGGTTTTTAATGATGTGCTGTGATAGCACAACAAATTGGTTTCAGGAAGATTCTCAGAACTGATCCAACATGCCATGGTCAGTTTGGTGCAGAGCACTGCTCAGATATGAAGCCCCTCAGCTGTCTCATGTTTAAGAACACCAGATTAGCTTTCACCCTGCAGGGCTTGTCTCTCCATACCCCTCTGTGCACTGCATCGTCTGGTCACCCATAAAATCTGT